AGCCCAAGTTCGAGGAAAATTGGGGTGGCAATGAACCGAACTCGCTAAGTTCTATGGACGTACAAGCTCGGCTCAGACCTACAAAGTAAGCTATGTCTATCTTTTGGCTCGTGGGCATCATGAGATGAGTCGAACTATCAATGAGTCCATGACACTATTTTTTTTTTGTTGAAAAATGAATTAATAAAACAATTTGAAACATTCTAAACAAAGCCCCCCGTTTGATAGAAATTAAAAATCATATTTTTATTTAGTTAAAGTCAATAATTAATTTTAACTACACAATTAATGAGATTCATAACTTTTCGATCACCCATTTTATCAACTTTTATTAAAATCTACTAAAAATTTAATTTTTAATCCCCACCAAATAAGGTCAAAATATGGTACAAGAACCTCCTCATAGTTTCAAGATTGGGATTGACTATTTTTCACAAAAGCGAAATTATAATTGTCTTGAAATATGCAACTATTAAACTATCCACTTTATCTTGTATCAAGAGCACTGCATTTTTCCAAACTTTTAAAGACATTAAACTCTTTAATATATCTTTTGTAAGTTTTGATCTAAAATGAACAATGCCACTCCAATAAAAGTAGATTTTGACACTACAGTAGATATCATATTTGTTAGGGGTTATTCTTGGTAACAAGGCCCTGGACGTCCAGGGTCCTGTCACAAGGGGTTTTCCCTATTTGTTAGTAGATCACGAGCTATAACATATACAATTGGACGTTGACGCTCATTCATTCTCCACCATCTAAATATGTCAAAAAAATCATTTCTTCCTCGTCTAAAACAATGAGCACGTTGTGAGCAAAGTACATAGATAATTATAACATGCACTTTGCGTCTACCTATATTCTTAGCATGGTCATGAAAAGATGAATTACTATAATGTTGAGTGCATTTACAATAACTAATGTAGTTCCATAAAAACGTTGTTATCGTTTGTCGACGAAGTAGCCCCTCTATAGGGGACCATTTAAAGTTCCAATTTTTTTCGGCACACAACTCATACATATCACATAAATTTTCCTCTAAATTATAAGCGTAATTGGAGATCCATAGTTAAGTTATTTGAAATTGGATGCAATATATTTTGTACGTTTTAAATTAAATCCAGAGTCCATTACTGAAGCTAAAGTTAACAACATAAGCAACACCTACCAATATTTCCTAATCTTGACCTTCATTGCTTCTACGGTATCTAGAATAATGGAAAATATTTTATAACTACACCAGTTATTAACAATGTAACAAGAATTAGTTGGAATCGGTAGACTGATTGAATAATATACGCTTGAAGAAGCATTTCTAGTGTTGAAGAAAACTTTCAAAAAAAAAAAAAAAAAATCTCACATGAAATGATCAAGATCTTGTATCCATACGAGTATCGATCGTTGTAATAAGCAGTAACGAAATTTTATTAACATAATATAGCATTAGATAATTTGAATTCTATTTATTATTTACCTTACCACAGGTCAAATGTAAAATGGTGGGACATCAATATATTTATTTAAATCACATACTATCCATGCCTTTTCTATTGTATTTGAACAATGAATGTTTTCAGAATAGGGTTTGTACCTGAGTCAAAGATAATTTTTGTATGAAGTTGGTCGAGTAAACACTTTTCACCATGCTAAGTGCAAACTCACCCCTAGCTACGAATATCACAATATTTTCGTGCATTATCTCTAGTGAATAGACCCAATTGTTAAGACTAGTACTAGAACTTGTAGCAGAAGAACCAAAATGGAATTGCAATTGATTAATTTTATACCATGTGTTTGACTATGCATATTATGTAGTATCTATTTATATCAGTCATTCAGCATCCTCTTTTGCCAAGCTAACTTCTCCTTGTAGTATTTACACAGCACTTAATAGACTGTCTGTCTACTATTACATTTTGGCCACAATTTGAAGTGTTTCTATCACTTAGCCTTTATTTCTTCGTTATTCACTTGTTGCTTTAACCTATTGTCACCATTTCATCACCTTCTTCAACACCATCCACATCAATTGATTCATACTGCCATGGTCATCATCCAAATCATTAGGAACTTAAACATCATTTAAACCATTGGAATCATGATCTAATGATGTGGTAGTTTCTCGAGCATTGGAAGCACCAAAAAATTTGTTGCACTAGTTTTCTACAGTTTGCTGTAATTCATTTGGAATAATATATGTTGTGTCACTTAGAAACAATACGCTTCACTTGCTATGCTCTAGCTTAGACCTGGGGGTTAGGTAGGTTAATATAGGTATTTCAATACTCGGAACTACCCGTTATAATTCGAGTATTTTGTAAATATAGCTATTCAAGCCCAAGCCCAAGCCCAAACAACATTCAGTTCCATTTGAGTTCGATTTTACCCATAATAATTTTTATATACATTTAATAAAGATTTTCATATAGACTCTTTCGATACGTGTACCTAACAACAATATTTGTGAAAGAGAGAAAGTACAATTAAAAAAATTTCAAAAAGCAAAGAATTCATCTACATAACTCAAAATAGTGGAGACTAAAAATTAAGAAAAGAGGAAAAAAAAAATTAGAATATCAAAAATTAAAATACAATTTGAGAACAAATGATTTTTCTCGATAAAATCTTATTTGATAAATAAGTAAGACATGCTAGAACCTATAATTTAATTATGGATAATGCTTACTTTTAAAATAAACTGACATAAAAAATACTTATAAGATACATAATTATACAGTATCAAAAAATTTCAATCCACGTATTAAACTCGCTCTTTTTAAGTTAAAATGACAAAATATATTTCAAAAGAGAACCATAATCTCGAGATAGCGAAAAAGTTATACCACCATCTAGTGTCCAAGCTCTGTATATATTATGTTCAATTGCCAAGCGGTATAACAAACTAAAGGAAAAATTGCAGCAGCGGTCTCTAACATTTTCAATTTTTGCAGACTTTACCATAACCTTCATTTTGTGCCAGTAAAAGTCCCCAACTTTTCATAAATGTGCAGCTGAAATCCATTTGAACTAAAACCATCCATTGTACCGTTAGTTGACCAAAAATTGGGAAAATTGATCAATTTTGACCAAATTGAAAAGGGGCATTTTCGGAGTTTGCATTTTTTTCATATTAAAATAAGTTATTTAATTAAATTAAAAAACCAAAAAGTAAATGTAAATAGTATAATATATAAATCCTATCAAAACCTTTCTCCTTCTTTCCTGACGAGACTACCACCCAGCCACCACCCCATGCTGTAGTCATTGCCACCACAACCCCCATTACCAGTGGAAGCACCCTCCACAAAAAATCGAGAAATTTCCACAGCAAACCAAACCCCCAAAATTCTAGTCAACCCACAATTCGCATTAACAGCGGAAACAATCTCCATAGAAAAAATCGAGAAATTCCCACAGCAAACCAAACCCCCAAATGCTGGTCAACCCACACTCCCTCACCCATCGAAACCAGAACACGAAAATAATGGAATAGAAATATCGAACTCAGCACCACCGCTCAATTTCACATAAATTTCCTCCATTACCTTTGCCCTTCATTCCCTACTTAATTTCACACAAAAAAAACCTCTAACCCAGCACCACCACCCATTTCCCATTTTTCTTTGCACTACGAAATCTAGTTTGTTGCTGTATTTCTTGAATTTGGCCACCAGTTTCTATTTGGCTACCGATTTCTATTTGGTTGCTATAATTAAAGTCGCCTATAATTTTCAACTCCGACTATTGTAATTTAGTACAAAAGCTTTTGTTCGGTTTCATTAGGGCTTAGTGGGTTAGGCTAGTGATAGTGGCAGTAACTATAGCTGCGTCCATGATGGTGGAAACTAGTGGAGAAGATGAAGGATTTAGGAAAGGGCGGGTTGAGAAGATGAAGGATTTGGGTAATTTTTTTTGTTTTAATTTAAGTAATTTAATTATTAATCTAAGATTGACGAAATTGCCCCTTCCTAATTTGGTCAAAATTGGTCAATGTTTCCAAATTTTGGTCAACTAATGATACATGGATGGTTTCCATCCAGATGAACTTCAGCTGCACATTTATGAATGGTTGGAGACCTTTACTGGCACAAATGAAGGTTATGGTAAAATTTGCAAAATTTGAAAAGGTTAGGGACGACTACTACAATTATTCCAAAATTAAAAGATCATTCAAGTTTGTAAATGTAGTGGTAAAAATTAATTTACTAGTCCAAGTGGCCGAAACCATAGAACATGGTTCACATACGATTCAATCGCACTATCATCGTTCCAACTCATTATAACAATCGACCCGAATCCACAATCCATGACCTACATGTTAATTCAAAATCTCCAATAATCTATCTTCCAAAAAGATCATGTTACGTTCTATCCAGATCTGGTGAGAGTTATCTACAAATGGATCTGATATCTTAACTGAACAAATCAAATTAGATTTGGCTCCAACCAACCACGAAATCTCGGAGAATCCCCGCCAATCCCTCCTAGACGATTATCCCACTCCTATAAATTCAGCAGACGGTCAAGCATTCAAAATCCACTAGACTCTAATTCATTTCTTCTTTCTTTCATCTAGCATTTATCAAACTTTCAACAAGATTTACTGACTTGACCGTCGAAGGGTCTTCGGCCAACACCACATCGATGTCCTTTTAAGATATTTTTACGGTCATTTTCCTTTGTTTTATTTTTCTTAAGTTCCACAGGATTACTGGTGGCCTACTTGATCCAATTTCTTGGTTCTAGAATTTACCGTCTACAATTTGGCGCCCACTGTGGGGCCCTAGCAATTATTCTTACAAATGGGACTATCATCATTACTATTCAACAATCATCACCGTCATGTCAGGAACTTCTGAAACTTATCGTACAGACGGCTTCGCTGATCATACTTCGGAAGAATTAGCTCGTTAGGAAGCAGAACAAATGATTCATCAGGAGGTGGAAGCAACAATGCAACAAGGAAATGGCTTAGGTCATGCTACCGCTCTGCCTACCACTCCAACGTTGGCTCGTTTTATCCATCCAACAACCATCCAGCCAATCCAGCAGGTAGTTGCACAGCAGAGTACTGTCCATCTTGCCTCTACACACCTTCAACCTACCACCCTATCCGGTAAAGTCACTGCACAACTAGCTCAACTCATCGAGTTGACAAAACAGAATTCACAAAAGCTCGAAAGGCTAGAAGTGGAGAATGCTGCCATCCGTGTGGAGAATCAAGACCCTCAAGAAAGAGTGGAATCCTTGATATCTGATTCAAAATTGCCACGCCCATCACAGCCGACTCCTTTACTTGACCAAAATGGACTTAGGACCATTGGTTCGAATGTCCACTTTGTCTCACCGCTTAACGGAGGATCAAAGATGCGCAACCACAGCCTACTAGTGGACAAGACCTAGAATTCGTACAAAAGTTAGCAGCGATCGAAGCCATGGTTCAACGTATCCCGAGAATGCCAGCATCTATCAAGAAAAGCGCAACCAGTTGTTTCGTCGACTCTCCCTTTGTCGATGAAATTACCCTGGTAGAAATGCCCAAAAAATTCAACTTTCCCAATATGAAGTTATATGATGGGACAGTTGATCCAGACGATTATATAGCTCAATATAGACAAGAATTTTTACCGTCGCTATACCAAGAGACCTTCGAAAAGCTTGCATGTGTAAAGGGTTCGGCTTCAGTCTAGTGGGGCCGGCCCTACAGTGGTATATCAATCTTCCAAATAATTCTATATCATCATTCACCCAACTGATACTTTTGTTGAACAATTTGCAAATGGCAGAAAACTTGAAAAGCTCCAACGACCTCTATCATAGAGTGCAGAGTGGAAATGAGTCATTGTGGAAATTTGTCAAACAATTCAACCAAGAGAAAAAGCTTGTTTGGTGGGGATTTTATTAATTGATTTTTTGGCCGTTAGAGAAAAAATGGGTCCTACCAGTGAGAGACGAATTCAAAAATGACGGCTCAAATAGTAAAATAACGGTCAAAAAATTGATTTTAATTGACTTAACATCCCTACCAAGCAAGTGCAAAGTTTCCATCCCTAGCTGCAACCAACAAATTGCCATTTCTGCTTTTTGAAAGGGACTCATCCCAAATACTGATTTGTATAAGGAACTCACCAAATACCCATACAGCACGATGGAGGATATTTTGGCCAAAGCTTGGGCTCAGATTATATAGGAAGAGGATGATGCTAATTTTAATTTCACCAGACGGCAACTCCATCGAGAAGAGCCGTGACGACCAAACAGGTTCGAGAAACGGCCCACCGATACCTACTCCCCTTAGGACAGGAGAGATACCAAGCATAGGGAACTGCCTAGACTAATTGAACGACCTTTCGCAAGAACGAAGATTAGGGTCTCCGAATACAACTCTCTATCAGGCTAACAGAACTAATTGCAATATTGAAGGGAATGGGCAGCATAGTGAATTGGCCCGAAAAGATGAGAAGCTCTGGTGACCAGCGAGATAAAAGTAAATGGTGTGAGTTTCACGCCGACCATGGCCACCGCACAGATGATTGTATTGCTTTGAGGTTGGAAGTGGTTGAACTATTTAAGCAAGGACGTCTTAATGACTTTTTAACCAATAAAGAAAAGGAGAACGTTGTCAGACAACAACAACATCAGCACGTTAAGCAAAGCTTCGAAACAATGGCCACACCATGACATGATCAAACCATTAACTTCATCATCGACGGATTGGAAGTTAGTGGGATAACAAGGGCGGCGACACGAAGGCACGTACGTCGAACAACTCACCTCTATCAAAATCTAAGCCAAATAAGCCAGTCAGACACACCGCAGATCATTAGCTTTATGACATTTGAGGCTACGCAGCTACTCAATCCACACCATGATGCTTTGATCATATCTTTGAACATCACCAACTGCTTAGTCAAGCGTATTTTGATAGACAATGGCAGCACTGCAAACATACTTTTCCTGGAGACCGTTAAGGCTATGGGAATTCCAGAAGAAAACATTACACGCCGGACAACAGTGCTAATTGGTTTTAGTGGTGAACAAAAGAATACTCTGGGCGAGATTGTTTTGCATGTTTATGCGAAACGGGTTAACCTTCACATCCAATTCCTCGTGATGGATAGTCCTTCAGCATATAATGTTATCTTGAAGAGCCCCTGGATCCATGAAATGAAAGTCGCACCATCAACGTTTCATCAGGTACTTCGTTTCCCGACCAAATGGGGAATAAGAGAGATTTTTGGCGACCAAAGGGATTCTAGGGAGTGCTACCAGAATTTACTCCGCTCCGACCGATCTTCTTTATAGCAATCCCAGTCGACCATCCTAGACCAACCAGATGTGGAAGAACTAGACGAAGTACAGATCTACCCCGACTTCCCAGATCACAAAACTCAACTCAGAGCAAGGCTAGAACTAGAGCTCTGGCAGCGCCTTATCAAGTTCTTCATGGAACACCATGACTGTTCGCTTGGTCCCATACTGACATAACCAGTATTGACTCGGAGGTAATAACGTACAGATTGAATGTTGATCCCTATTACATTCCGATCAAACAGAAGCGAAGAAGATTTGTGCCCGAACGAAACCGCATCATTAATGAAGAGGTCCAAAAACTTTTGGAAGCAGGTTCTATACGAGAAGTCAACTACCCAGATTGACTAGCTAATGTCGTCGTGGTGAAAAAGAAGGACGGTAAGTGGAGAGTTTGCATCGATTTCACAGACCTAAACAAGGCATGTCCAAATGGCAGCTTCCATCTTCCACATATAGACATGATGGTCGATTCGACAGCTGGATATGAGCTTCTAAACTTTATGGATACTTTCTCCGGGTACAACCAGATATTGATGCACTAGCTGACCAAGAGAAAATTTCTTTTGTGACAGAGTGAGGCACGTTCTGTTACAAAGTTATGCCATTTGGACTCAAAAACGCAGGAGCAACCTATCAACGACTAGTAAATCATATATTCCATGAGCAACTCAGAAAATCCATGGAAGTCTACATCGATGATATGCTGGTGAAGTCTTTGATTGTAGAGCAACACATAGACCACCTCAAACAGTCTTTTGAGGTTCTAAAGAAGTACAACATGAAGCTTAATCCGTCCAAGTGTTCATTCGGAGTGTCCTCTGGCAAGTTTCTAGGTTACTTAGTAACCCAATGGGAAATCGAAGCAAATCTGGACCAAATTCAATCAATCATTAACATTCCACCCCCAACTTGTATCAATGAAGTTTTTGAGGCTTGCTGGAAGGCTTGCAGCTCTTAACAGGTTCATCTCCCAATCTTCAAAGAAATGTCAAAAGTTCTATAACACATTAAGGAAAATAAAACTTTCGAATGGACTCCGACATGCGAAGAAGCGCTTCAGCAACTCAAACAATATCTGACATCACCACCACTCCTGTCGAAACTGAAAGACGGAGAACAACTATACATGTACTTGGTAGTTGTGACATCGTTTCCACTAAAACAAACACTCCATAAACCTAAGTTTTCCGGACTACTAACCAAATGGGCCGTCGAATTAAGTGAATATGATATTTCCTTTGTACCCCGCACTACCATCACATCTCAGGTACTCGCAGATTTCATCTCTGATTTTGTACCTAACTTACAGGTTTTGGCCCAAAGAGAACTTCTGCTTGACGGATGGACCGGCAACGAGCATATGGACGCTCCAGGTAGATGGGTCGAACAACATCAATGGCACAGGACTTGGCATTGTCTTAACATCATCGAAAGGAGATTAAATAGAGCAGAAAATTCAAGGCAACCAACAACAAGGCAGAGTATGAAGCACTCATTGCTGGACTGGTCTTAGCAAAAGAGATCGAAATCACCCGAATGCACGTCTGTAGTGATTCTTAGCTCATTGTAAACCAAATACAGGGAACCTTCCTTGCCAAAGACACAAAGATGACGTCCTACCTTGAGTTGGCCAAGCGGCTCTGCAAAGAGTTTGATGAGTTCCATATCGCTCAAGTCCCACGAACTAAAAACATCCAGGCAGACGCACTAGCTAACCTCAGAGCAACTACAAATAAGAAACAAAGTAAGGTAATCCTGATAGTTTATTTGCAATGGCCAGCAGTTCGAAAATCCGACGAGAACAATAGTATTCATTCATTGGAGGAACAATCCTGGATGATACCGATCATCAGGTACCTCCAAAATGATGAGTTGCCACCAGACAGAAATGAAGCTCGACAAACTAAGGCAAAGGCTGCGAGATTTTGCTTTATAGACGGTAAGTTGTATAGAAGATCATTCTCTAGACCCTATCCCCGATGCATCAGTAATACAGAGATCGAATATGTCTTGGCTGAACTTCATGAAGGGGAGTTTGGTAATCACTCGAGAGCCCGGAGCCTGGCGCATCGTGCACTTACTGCTGGGTACTATTAGCCAACAATGCTGACCGACTCTATTAATCACATCAAAAAGATGCCAACGATTCGCCAATGTCTCCCACCTTCCACCAGAACGGCTCAACCCTGTTCTTTCAACTTGGCAGTTCATGAAATGGGGGATGGACATTATTGGAAAACTCCCCGTTGCTCTAAGACAACGAGTTTTCGTGCTGGCAGTCACGGACTATTTCACGAAATGGATTGAAGTCGAGGCACTCTCAAAGGTACGTGTTTGTGAAGTTATCCAATTTATTTGAAAAATGTGAAATGCAGGTTTGGAGTCCCAAAGGAAATAGTCACGAACAATGGGACACAATTCATAAGTATTGAGTTTCAAAATTTCTGTAAAGAGTGAAACATCAAGCTAAACTTCTCCACTCCGCGATATCCCCAAGCCAACAGTCAGGCCGAATCTTCCAATAAGACTGTCATGAACACATTAAAGAAAAGACTATCTGAGGCTAAAGGAAAATGGGCAGATGAGTTGCCTGGTGTCCTTGGTCCTATTGCACCACCGGTCGAACACCCACTGGTGAACGCCCTTCTCGTTGGCTTACGGCATGGAAGCGGTCATACTAGTAAAAATAGGCACTCCAACATTTCGGTATGAATGGACAACGGATGAGCATAATCAAGTCTAGTTGTGCCATGAGTTAGATTTGGCAAATGAAAGAAAAGAAAGAGCTTTGATTCGTACGGTTGCATATCAATGAAAAATCGTTCAACATTTCAACAGGTAGGTGACAACTAGACCTTTCAAAGAATGCGAGTGGGTGTTGCCAATAGTATTTCAAAACACTAAGGAAGCTAGTGCCGGAAAGCTTGTAGCGAATTGGGAAGGACCGTACCTGATTACTAAGGTTGTTGGGCAAGGAGCCTATAAGCTACGCGCCCAAGATGGTAGAGATATCACCAACAGCTGGAATGCCATCCACCTCCGCAAATATTATTTTTGAGTCTTCTAAACTCTTCTCTTTTATTTGGTATTTTTATTTTCATTCGAATCCGTACTGACTTAAGCATCGGAGAGCCGATGGCAAAAATGCCATTGGCGATCCTAACCTTTTTTGCTTTCAAGAGAATCAACGAGAAAGTGTCAAACTGGAGTGCCATCCACCCCCACAAATATTATTCCTAAGTCTTCTAAACTCTTTTTTTTATTTGGTATTTTTATTTTCATTCAGAATCCGTACTGACTTAAGCATCGGAGAGCTGATGGCAAAAATGCCATCGGCGATCCTAACCTTCTCTGCTTTTAGGAGAATCGACGAGAAAGTGTCAAGCTGGAGTGCCATCCACCCCCACAAATATTATTCCTAAGTCTTCTAAACTCTTCTTTTTTATTTGGTATTTTTATCTTCATTCAAAATGCAATCAGCGGTCCTAACTCTCTTTGCTTCCAGGAGAGTCGCCAAAAGGAGAAATATATCTGATGTTAGACTTTTCTCATCACCAATGATTTGGGAATCCTTGAATTTGGGGAAGAAAATCCCGTGCAGGTATCGAAGGCTATTTTGGAGTCAAGAGAAATAAGCATATAAATTTCATCAAGTCATTTGGATGAAAAAGACCACGCGGTTGCCTTCAAACCGTCCGGACGAAGAAGAACACACGATTGCTGGACAAGGGTAGCATTACCCTAACCATGAGGCCGATCCATATGAAGACTCAACTGTCTTCAGAGCAGCTAATAAAATTACCTACCAAATCAGACGCACTGTTCTAATCCATTCCCTTGTAAAAGTACTTTGATGAGTCTGCTTTATCTTTTATGATGAGAAAGCAAGTCCAATTTCTGTTCCAATATTATGGTCACTCTTCTATTACAAATAAAATTCTACGTTCGATACTTCACTAGTTTTTGGCAGTTAGGCGCATAACTCCAATAAGTCTACAAATTATATAGTTTGGAAAGACGTGAGTTCAAACACGATTCATACAAATACTGATATTTAAGTTTGAAAGAAAATAATGGCCGAAAAGCACACCTGGAAAATGTGCTTCCAAAGGCACCTAGACCCATCCATCATCCGTATTCCCGATTCCATCGCTAAATAAAGCCCCAACTTCGGGTTGCTCCTCTAATGTATTCAACATACCAAGCAACTGGCACAACTCCGCATAATCGGCAATAGCTTTATCTACGTCCCAGCTAACGTGCCTACATTTCTTGTAATCACTCATAAGAAAGGCCCGGGTGGCTATCTCGACTTCCAACTGGAAGTTCTCCAAACGGTCTTCCGAGAAGTGATCTGATCTCCTGAAGATTTCTTTGAGTTTGCAAGTTCTTCCTCCAATACAAGCTTCTCACGAACCGCCTCGGATAGCTCATCCATCATCTGCCTAGTAGCCAAATCAGCATCTTGCTTCTTTGTCCTCAAACTTTCATTTCCCCACGCAATGAAGTATTCGCATCCTACAATTAGTGTACCTTCCTAGCCAGCCTAACGACTTCGTTCTTCTGAAAAATAGCCCCTTGCAGTACCTGGAATAAATGGAATAAGTTCGTATCAACCAATTGAGTTATCTATAAAGAAGTATATAAAAATATTATACCTGGAATGCCCGAGCCATCATGTTTTCAGCTGCCTTAATTGGACCAAGTTGTTCATAGCGCACTCGATCTTCAGGGAATAAAAGTCCCTCACCAACTGCCACCACACCAGGGTTAGAAAATGCTGAGGAGTCTATTGAGAAGGTAAGTAGGATCGACTAATCGAGTCGTCGTCTGCCGACAATGGCCCCAGTTGACCGCATTTTCAGATCGACGAGAAAGGAACATCAGGAAGCTTAGTCTGGCTGGAAAGACCATCAGATGGAACTGGGGTGTTAGCTAGTACCGTATGAGGAGAAACCTTTTTAGACTTCTCCTTAGCCTTTCTCCTTTTCTAAAGCATCGAGCGAAGATCCTACCACTCTTGACATAATTCGATCTGCAATCTCATGGTCGGTTGAGTTAAGTAGGTAAGTCATAGGAAGGTTACTGCCAATAATTTCCATACCTCTCTTTGTCATTATAATAGGGATCTTATATCTTGGTAAATCGGAAGGAATACCTCTTGGTTTGGTCGAAATGTGCTTCCACAAGCTGCTTGAAAAAAGGACTTTTGGAGACAAAAGGAATTAGCAATCCTTCCAATCCTTAGGTATCACTAAGATCTTGGAAATGCGCTCCTTTACGAACAATCCTTCGACTGGCCGCATGTTGATACGAAGACCTGCAAGAAAAAAATAATCTCAAATCAGTAAAGTGTATTGAAAGTAAACGGTCTACAAAACTTACCACGAGACCATGCCGAAGGGAAATGGTAACTCTTCGACCAAACCAAGTCACCTGATGTGAGGACATAAGACTCTTTCCAGCCCTTATCCCCACAAGAAAGGCTAACTATCAATCAATCGACATTTTTCCTTGCATTTAAGGAAAAATGGCCCTTCTCACCGTCATGCTCCCTGATATAGTAGTCGTGAAGTAGCTTTGGCATGCCGAACGAGATATAATGTCGCTCGGTTAAGACCCGAAGTGCTAAAAACAATCTCCAAGAGTTAGGCATAAGTTGGCTGGGTGCAATCTCAAAATACTCTAGTACTATCGTAACCGCATGGGGAATCGGAAATCGAAAGCCATTTTTAAATAGCAACTCATAAAAAAATCCAACCAGGGACATTCCATGAAACCCTTTCGTACGGTCTGGTAGATGAAGTTTAACTGATGCAGGAATATCATAAGCATCTCAGATTCTTACCAACTCATTTTCCTTCAGCTTGCTAGGTATATTCTTATTAAACATGATATCACTACCGCTTGGATAGCTCTGCTTGTATAAATCATATCTAGGCTGGTCATCGTCACGACTTGGATCGGATGGACCACTACTGATACCAACGCTCTCTAGATCAATCTCACGAGAGGAATGAATCCTCAGATCGCCATCCCGCCAATGTTGGCCCATCTGGACAATCTGAACCCACATAATTGTCCAGCCATGAGTTTTCACCCAGATTGTCGGACTTATTTATATCACCATTGGGCCATGCTTCGGCCGAAATTCCGTGTGGAGCGTCAGAAAAATCACTCCAATCCATTGTTCGTAAAAAATAGCTATTCACTAGCAACTTCACTTCGCAGCGGATCAAGCTCCAGAAACAGCAAATCAAAACATACTCAACCACCAAAGAATTTGGAAAAATGATTGAAGAACATTAAAAAACAAAACAAGAACTCGAATAATAGAAAAGAAAAACTCACCGGAATCTCAGAAGCTTCTTGAAGAGAACTTAGCTCACTTGAAAAATGAGGACATGAGGCCTTAAATTATAGAAGTTGACACTCTAAACGAGATGAGTAAATGAGTTCATAAATGCGATCAGGACCATCGATAGAATACACTCGCCGAACCTTGCAAATGAACATGAGGCCTCCTGACTAATTTGTCGTACTATCTAGCCAGATAAATATATTTTCTTCCTAATGGACACGTCGATCTTTTGGGCTAGTAAGCCAAGCCACAAATATGGCATGGTCTAGATAGATCGAATACATTTTCCTTTCATGTAGATATATTCACCACTTGGAACGGCAAAACAAACAATGCATATGACATGATCCAGACGAATCAACGATATTCTTTTTTGAATGGAAGCACCGATCAATCTAACTAGAAAATCAAGGGATGCATACCACACGACCTAGACGAACTAAAAAAAATAAATTATTGCTACAAAACCACTCGGCAAAATGCCGAGTGGTATATAACTTGTGCCCATGGGCACAAGTTTTTGCATGCGTGCCACTAAATTGATCTTGCCACACGACTTTCGAGCCATGTGGTTATCTTGCCATTCCGCACGGTTTTCGAGCCGTGTGGACATTGTAATATTCCATTTTATATGTATGATATTATTATATAATGAATACAAATTATTGATGTTCATCACATAGGCTATGCAATAAATTTTCAAAAAAAATTTGTCGCTTGGCCTCCTAGCCATATGAGAGCTATTGAGTCGTGCTAAACAAGACAAATATCCGACTTGCAAGCTAAAAAAAAAATTGTATGGCTGGACAAGTGATTAGAAATCTCCATGATATTTTTAATGATCGGACAATTCTCATACACCACCATGTAATCAAATGATCCACCCTATGATTCGAATTCGCTCTCAACTAAGGATCCGATCATCCCTGAACCTGAATTACTCTTCCATTCGAGTAGAACTCGTGTAAAAGAGTGGGGGACAAATTGTAGTGGTAAAAATTATTTTACTAGTCCAAGTGGCCCAAATCATAGAACAGGGTCCACATACGATTCAACCGCGCCATCATCGGCCCAACTCATTATAACAATCGACCCAAATACACAATCCATGACCTATATGTCAATTCGAAATCTCCAATAATCTATCTTCCAGATAGATTACGTTACGAACTATCTAGATCTGGTGAGAGTATCTACAAATGGATTTGATATCTCAATTGAATAGATCGAATTAAATTTGGCTCCAATCAACCACGAAATCTCGAAGAATCTCCACCAATCCCTCCTAGACGGTTATCCCACTTCTATAAATTCAGCAGACGGTCAAGCATTCAGGTATCAGAATCCACTAGACTCTAATTCATTTCTTCTTTCTTTCATCTGGCATTTATCAAACTTTCATCAAGATTTACTGACTTGATCGTCGGAGGGTCTTCGATCGACACCACACTGGTGTCCTTTTAAGATCTTTTTACGGTCATTTTCCTTTGTTTTATTTTTCTCGAGTTCCACAGGATTGCTGGTGGGCTACCTAATCCGATTTCTTGGTTGTAGAACTTACCGTCTACAGTAAACAATGCAAGAAAATAAAAAATTTGAATTGCAAAGAATGAACGCTTCGATTTATCAATTTATAGTACAACCTTAACTTGAACATTTTGATTCATAGAAACCAAAATTGCAAAGATTAACATATATGAACCTCTGAAATGCAACAATTTAGAGCCTGTTTGGGAGTGATTTTGAGAATTGATTTTTTGACCGTTAGGAGAAAAGTGGGGTCCACATATGAGAGAAGAAGTCAAATATGACTGCTGAAATAGTGAAATAACGGTCAAAAAATCAATTTTTTGGGGTAAAAAATCGCTCCAAAACAACCTGTTAATGTCATGTGAGAGGGTTAAAAAATAAAAAAGTACATAAAATATCAGTTCCATTTGGGTACATACAACTCTGGTTCAAGAACCAAGAATCGATCTGGACCCAGTTGGTTGTCAGTTCCCCTTTTTTTCGAATAGATAAATTTCGATTCGATTTCAATTCGGGAAGTTCAGTTCCAGTTCAAACGTCTAGGCCTATTCTATCCTCTAGTTCCATTTGCCACATCAATTGTATCAAAGTATTAAAGTCGGATTGTTGCTCCGATACCAAATGAAATAACTAAAGAGAAGAAACACACTTCAAATCAAAAATTACAAATATTTTAATTCTCTCTGTCTTTCATAAATGTGAATTAAAGTGAAATTAGCAAAGAGAAACAATATTCTACTAATGGAAATACTGAAATTAGAACAAGAGAATTAGAAGAAAAATAAAATATTATCTTTCCTTATTAAGATAAGAGATATTACATGCTAGTTTCCTTAGTACTTTTATTAATTCAACAAATCGAGCCATTGTTTGGCACATATTCTCAAAAATCAGTTTTAACCACATGTTCTTTAAATAAATTAATTTTGCACTTGACTCAAAATCTTTTCTACTATTTATAACCTCCCATTTTCAAAAAAGTTTACATCAAAGAGGCCCCGACCGTATGTTGAAACATCAATGTAAGTGTGGTGACTAATTTAGAAGAATAAAAATAGTTGCTGCCCAAAATGAGAAAATGATATAAGTTGGGTGCCAAGGGGTGGTTTTAAACAAATTTCTTTAGATCTACAATAGGATATAGAAAACTCGGAATGCTATTTTTGGATGTTGAACCTAACGAATCACATTGCCGTATAAACCCTTGTTTCGTTAACACATGAACGCGCAGATTAAAGGGGAGAGTGTGGAAAATGGAGGGTTACCCGCCAATACGTGAGATTCCTAATGAACCTGTTGTTAAGCGTTACAAGTTCGCATGGCGGGCTATTCTCATTTTTAACTTTGCTCTTGGAGGTCAGTTCCCTTAAACAATTATCCCAAAATTAATAAATTTCTTACAAGTTTGTTTTATAGCATAGTCGTAAAAATCCGTTTCATGAATTTGAATGCTATCCTGCTTTTGTTTATCATTTTAGATGGGTCTTGAGTATGTGATATGTGCGCTTTTTTACAGAGCTTGAAATTCTTGCATTATGATTGTTCTTGTGTTCGATGATACAGTTAATCAGTCTGCTATTGAACTCTCTGGGGTCTGATTAAAATGGCCTTTTTCTTGTCCATTTATATTTTGCTTATATACTGTTTGTTTCAGTGAAAAACAGTAAAATAAAAGCAACAATTGCTCATGGTGATTTGCATAATTACAAATGAAAAGTTGATTATTGGTTTTTGAGGATGAAGCACTTTATGGGTATTGTGCTTCATTTTTGTGGTAAAATTTTCGATGGTTTTGCTATGATGTCAATGAGATGTGTATTTATCTTTGCTGGCAAAGCACTGTCTTTGCATTTGTTCCTATCATTGAACTCAGTTCTTGTAGTAGCGTAGTCATAAGAATTTTACATTTGCATATTGTGGTTAAATTTTGCTCTTTGTGTTTCTTAACAAAAGAACGTGTCTCTATTCAAAGTTGCTGTATTTGTTCGGAACTTCTGATTATGGTAAAAGGTTGGAACATAAGAACACGAACATCTTAATACGAAGCTGGTAGCTTGGTGGAGATTCAAGACGGTGCAATAGTAAAAGATAAAAGAAGTTAGTAGATTACTATATTAGCATCTAAGATCTATGGATTTTGAGTTGAGATGAATATTGGAAACAATCATAACACTATGAAGTTTAATGTTCCTGAAAGGAGCTTCACTAACCGATTTCATTATGTATATGGTCAATGGTACAGAATGATGGTAGCGCTTGAAAATAATTAATTTACCGAAAAATGTCTAGTGCTCCCAGCGCTCCTCCTTCCCCTAGTTTTGTTTTTCTGGCCCCTTTTTGACCCCTCTAGCAACCTTCTTCACCCATTATTTAAGTTGGTTTCTCGCATCCTTTTCATACTTAATCCTGATGTATGGACTTGGTGTCTTGGTAATGAAATTCATTCTTTTGGTGGAGGTGAAAGAATGGTATCTTGTGGTGAGTGGGTTTTTTGGTAGGTTTTTGGTGGTCGATAGTAGGTATTGGAAATGCAATGCATTGTGGTTGGTTGTGGTGGTAGAGTATAGGTAGATGTGGAGTTGATTGTTGTAGGCAGTGTTCGTCGTGCAAGGTTAGCCCGGAAAATGGGAGACAGCATAGATATGTATCAGTGGCAAATGATAGCTAATGGGATTGGGCTCACAACTGTCAGCCATTGATTTAGGTGATATCAAATCTATAATAGAGATGAGAGGGAGTTTTGCATTGTATGGCAGTAAATGTTGGTATGACGTTGCAGGGGCAGATAGATGAATCTGGTTGGCGGGAGCCTAAATTTGGGAAAGTCAATGTAATAAAATGCATATAAAACATAAAAAAGTCATTAAATTGTGGAACGTGTCTCGCTTGTGGTTGGACGGGACATGGCATCCATTTTTCCTGATGTTGATGCAACACATTTATGAAAATAAAAATTGAGAGATTTTTAGGAAAAGTTACACTATTATAAGCCTTCGCATGTTGGTTTCAATTGACGGATTTCATTCATTTCATACATTTTTCAGAAAATTGGTATTTATTAAGCAGTATGAAGCCATGAAACCGAGTCTAATAGATTTTTTAAACTAGTATGATTGAATTATTAACTATGTTTTGACCATGACATTTCTTAGTATCTGTTTGATGGAATTTAAGTTTTTAACTACATGATCAAATTAGATGTACCAGTATCAAGCTTAGTTAAAATCCATTCTGATCCAAAACTAATTTGTACCTTTTAGTTTTACTGTAAATTTCTTGGAAAGAACTTGGCTGGAGAGAGATTACAAAATAGACAAATTGTCTAAAAACTATTATTGTACATAAAGAATAACCATTACTCAAAGAATCAAAAACCATTAAGAAAAACACAAAATTAGAAAAGTATATATAATATACCTTGGAATCCCAAAAAGAATTGATAAAGAATGACATTCAAGTTTCTCTATATGCACAAGCGAGAAGTGGATGCTAGTTGGAATTTGGGAATGGTTAACTGGGTAATTTTCCACAGGTTAGGGAGGTTAGGGGGGTTTAGAGGCTACATGACAGGTTTTTGGGCCAATTAGTGGTTGAATCTTGTGGGCTATATTTTATTTTTTTTAATAACTGGGCTATATATTGAAAACCTAAAATTTTCTGTTTTAATATTGGCTGTGGCGGGCTGGGGCTCGACCGGGCTGTAGTCCAGTCTCGTCCTCCCTCAAATCCACCCCTGTGACTTTGGATGTCTGTAGACTAGGATGCATATAGTGTTGATTGCCGGGTTTGGCTGGATGGTGTCATAGGCGACAACTTGTTGACGCTCGTGATTTTGTGCACTATGATGGTTTGGGCTCGCAATTATCAGGAATAGTGCCCCAGAAAACAGATCTATTTTGATGTACCTAAACATTTTTCTTTTCATATAAATAAATATGATTATTTATTTATTTCATGATTCAATATGGTTTTTATTAAGCAAATATCGAGGGCCCCAGGGTTATGAATTCTGCACACAAATGATTTATGTGCCAAAACTATAATTCATATCCTATAATCTAAACTTTTGTTCATGATCAGTAAATAAAGTTAGGTCATTTATCTGTAAATCCTACAGTTATCTACTTCACAAGTGGGTGAGTAGTTTATCTTAACTACAGATATTAATACCTCTAAGTCGAAGAACTAGTGTATTTGGAATGCATTGGATAAGACTACGTAAAATTTAGTTTAGTGCAAGGACTGTTAAATGGTTAAAGTTTACTGGACGGATAAAGATGTGTTAATATGATCTTGAGTGGATTATGAACCTTGTTTACGATCTAAGCTCTTTAAAATACAAGAGTGAAAATATAATTTGATCAACATCTGAGTATCTTGGAGCGCTCTATATTGTGAATATCAAAAGATTAAAGATGTGACTCTTTAACGAGAGTTTAATATCTCCTTAAGCATTTTTTTCCTACTTAGGTAAATCTAAGCATTCAGTAATTGCATTGGAAGTATGACGTTCCTCTATGTGACTCCAATTTGCAGATAATTTAATAACATTGTTTAAGTGATCTACAAGGGATTTTATTTGTATATCATTATTTTGGATAATTCCAACACTAAAGCAAGGATAGATAAGTTCCTTGAGAACTTTTGATAGCATTTTTGAATCTACTGATTGTTTTTTTTTTTTATTGTGATCATACATTGTAGTAAATCAAATGCACTGGTTCATGCTTCCACGTGAATTTTTGTTTTTTCTTTAATCCGAACCTGATTATCATTCTTGATATTGACAAGATTCTGGTCTAGGGCTCTCCATTGTACCAATTGTTTGATTAATAAATGTTTATACAAATGTGCAAATACTTTTCTGGTTTGCATGAGACCTAAGTAAGATATTGATAGATCACCTTTCAAGACTTGCTAATAGTTTCATTTGTATCCTCATCTTGATAAGTAGAATCAACATCTATGAATCTACTGTTAACAAGGGTTGTAGAAAAGCTGGATCCATGCTTTTATTAAAATATTTGCTGCTTTATCATCATTCTTGGTACCAATAAATTCAGGTACAGGCTGTCCTGGCACTACAAGTTTTAATTCCAATGTGAATCATAGATATGCATGCAGAGGGTCTCTTGCTTTCCTCACTCGTAAGCTCAAGTATGGAGTGCCTTGTGTGATTTGATGTGTTGTTATAATAGCTCAAGTAGCAAGTAGAAATGTGAAACTTTGTCTAAAGGATGAAATGATTCTTTGCAGTCATTTGTAAGTTAGAATGAATAGTTCGAAGAATATACATGGTTTTGATTCTAAACACACTGGATTTGTCCTGCCTTACATGTTATTTTTTAAATCAGTACATTTTGTATTAGCAAGTTCTCAGAATCATCTGCAGTACTCGTGACCAAAAAATAAAAATAAAAAATGATGCAGCATAATAAAAATTGAAAATGGAGCAAGGAAAACTATACCAGGGTTTATATTGATAGTTGAAATTGGACCAGATTTTAATAAGGGATATATATTCCTATTTCTTCTTCTTCAATCTGTTTTTGTCTTCAACTGTTCTTCCTGTTTCGGCCAGTTACTAGAAATTTCTTTTTCATATTTTACATTTTTAATGCTCGTAAAAATATCTCTGACTTGAGCACTTATATTGTTGTTGGGCAAAATTGATCAGAGGAAACTGAGTCAAACTGAAATCTTAAAGCAGTAAACTCTTTGTCATTGTTTTTGCAGCATATATGTTTGCGCAGGCAGGTTGGAAAGAAAGAGTCAAAGAGAAAACTGAAAGCAAAGCTGAAGTTGTTTCCACTCCAACTGAAACAACTGCTCCCCCGGTTGAGGAACCAGCATTCGAACCTCCTGTCACAAGGCCTGTGATTGTGCGACAGCCCATTCCTGAAGACAGGCAACGTGAACTTTTCGAGTGGATGCTGGAAGAGAAAAGAAAGATCAAACCCACGAATCGACAAGAAAAGAAGCAAATGGACGAAGAGAAAGCTATTCTTAAGCAGTTTATTCGCTCAAAGTCCGTCCCCAGTATTTGATGTTTTACTGGCTGTTCTTTATCCAAAAATAAATAAATAAAATTTGTGGTGGAGTGTACTCTACTCGGGCTTCATAGGTTTCAGGACTTAGCATCTCTTTCAATCGTGGCAGTAATGCCGCGTTTGATCATTTGGGCTAGGATCAATATACTTGAGTTATATAACTTCAACTATGGTCCTTTTGCCCTCTATTCTTATGACATGTGCGGGATCAGAACACTAGTAAATTGGTCTTCGAAGAGCACCAGCTTTTGATATTGTGATCCATATTTGTGTATTCTCGTTAAAATATTTTGTTCACTGTTGCTCATAACTAGTGCAGAAACCTTTTGAAAAGTGCAATATTTGACTCTTATGATAGTTGCATGTTTTGGCAAGTGTTTATAAACATGTTTAAAATAAAAATACATTTTAGAAGTTAAATTATTTTATTCGTATATTTCGTGGAACCTATGAAAACTAATTACTAATTTACAATTCATTTCTATCGTTTATAAATATTTGTCAAACGTATACGTAGCAGTTAGCTCCTAGATGGAGAATCTTACAAAGACGACGCAAGGGGTTTGCAAGCATACTGAGAGTTTGTTTTTGTTTACATCTCATTTCTTGAGAAAATGTGTATTTATATCGTCGAAGTGTGTGTAAAAAAAAAAAAAGCCTTCAGGAACTTTACATTCTAAAAAAGGAAAAATTGTCTACAGCATTCCGTTATATGAAAAAAAATAAAATTAAAAAAGATGTGTTCCAGCTCTGTGTGCTTTGATACCAATTTCTCGAAACACTCTTCTTGAAGGGTCAAGAGAGTTACGTCTTACATTATAAGTGACGATACACTCTTATGAGGTCTCGAGAAGAAGGGTAATTGGCACAACACTCCTAAACTTTGTCTCTATAGCGTAATACTCTCCTAACCCCTCTATATGACTTTTTCTTTGTGGAATACAATATTTTCTTCCTTTTTCTCAATAAAGCATTGTGAAATGACGAATATACCCTACTCTTTAAATGAAACAAAAATAAAACAAGAAAAAAAAGAATTAATTGTAACTATAGTCCCATTTTTTTTTAATAAATACAAATGAGTCCCAAATAAATAATTAAAAAATTAGATGGATGTATAAATTAGTTTTTATATTTTATTTAAAAATTAAATTAAATAAATAAATTTTTCACTCTATTTTATTTATAATATAATCAATATACATGTTAATTTGTATCTTTATTTCATCTTCAATGAACCTATTTTAACTAGTATTTATTATATATATGTAAATCAAATCGACGACGATAAAATCATAAATGGTCCTTGTTTGATGAAAATTATAATATAGGTTTTTATCAAAATCAAAGTTATCAATATTAACCACATATTTCATGAGATCCACAGCTTTTTAATCACACGTCTCATTGACTTTTATCAAATTCTACATGATTTTAATCTCTATACATTATATAATCGAAGATTGCCAATAGTTCTTTGATCACTAATGGCAAACGAAGAAATCATTGATTTTACTGACCCAAGCTCCACTCTTTTTATCAAATAACTATTGATAATTATCGATAATATAAGTGGCAATATTGTCGTCATTCATTATATATATATATACACACACACACATACACACACTAATTATAATAAACTCATTAAAGATGAAATTGAAGATAAAAACTAAATTACATGACGATAATATTACCCAAAAAAAAAAATGAAAAAATGAAAAATCTTACGACTACTCTTTTCATCGTCATCTCAGTGAAGGAAGCCCCTTAACTTTATTCAATCTAATAATTGGCTAACCCTGAAGTCATTTCACAAGACAGTGTCATTTCTTGTAGGGGCGGAGCTACCTAAGGACCAGTGCGGGCAGGTGCCCGCACTGGGATTTTAAGAACTGAAAATTTAGGTAGTAGATGCAGACACCTACACTGGGATTTCCGGCAGGTCCATGCATTACGTGAAGAGTCGAACGCAGTGGAAAGCTGAAAGTGGAAGAAGGGTAGAAGAGTTTTTTCTGGGGCTAACTTCTAATTGTTTTCTAAATTGTAATGTAAGCCTTTTCTGACCAACTGACCAAGAAGAGAAGAAGAAAATGGAAGAAGAAAGCTTGTAAGTAGCTGTCGCAGTGGAGCAGTTATGAATTGATGGGGAAGATGAGTTAATGTTGGGCCATTTTTTTTTTTTAAAAAAATTCTGGACCTTTTGTTAAATTGAGCTATCTTAATATTAGACCCATGATAATAGGATTCATAGCCCACAGGCCTGCTGATGTTAAAAGTTAAAATCGTTTCTATTTTCATCCTATTTCTGTAGTTCAGGTTGTTCGGCTATTGTTTCATAAATATATGCACAAAACATGTCTCTTTGTTCATATAAATGTGTAAAATGTGTTTGTTTGTGCATCTCCATTAATTATCGTATTAATCTAAAAGCAAGTGAAATGGAATAATAGAATTGATTGCACTAGCTGTTAAAAAGTCACCTTCCACTAATTGCTTTAATTTGAAAATCTACATGCTTATAGAATCGTTAATAAGTTTGGGCTTGACATTCTCGGGATATCTCTCGCATCTTCGATTTTCAATTGGGACAAGACTCGAAAAGAAGTTCTTCAAGTGAACGAGGATGTGAGATTGTCTTTAGACTTGTTAGAATTGGTATTCTATAAAAAAAAATAATAATAAAAAATAAAATAAAATAAAATTTCACGGTTTTGCTGGTGGTTATTTGAGGTTATTGACTCAAAATTTGTTTTGGAATTCTATATTTGATATTCTTTTTCTGTAGGGTGTCATATTTATATATGTATATGTTATAGATTGTCTTCTATGCCGGATAACTCACCTCGTTTGTGAATATTTGTTATAGATTCCTTCCGCATTAATCATGTGAAGCTCTTTTCTTTCATATACTACTTTTGGCCAAAAAAATTACTGTAGCGAATACCTAAATTTGTGCCCGCACTGAACGAAGTTTCTGGCACCGCCCCTGATTTCTTGAATTGATTAATGAAACAAGTTCACTTCAGAAGGTGGACAAGGAAAGAACCTGAATATTCGAAAGCCAATTAAATTTCCCTCAAGAAGCGAAGAGCAGAAAGGATGATTTTTGGGAATTTTTTTCAAATCTGGATGATTTTTGGGCTAATTATCTTTTTACCGTCGAGCAACCATGGTTCTTTGCCAGAAAGGGAGAGTTGACGCAGCTGCCTCGCCATTCCTCATTCGAGATAGGATTGGAGAAAATGGTGGCAGACAGGCAAAAAAAACATACAATTTTTCAAACTAGCCGTTGACCACTTTTTAAAAAAAATCAAAAATCAAAAGTTTGTAAAAACTTTAAAAACATTGAAAACCCAAAACTGCCCCTGATATAACCTCTGAAACCGACGAGTGGAGAGAAAGAAGGGGACCGACAAGTTTTTCTTGGAAGGAGACCGACCGGCCACCATTAGAAGTGAAGAAAGTAAGTTTTGCATAATTTTTCCCCCATTAATCTATGTTAAAGGTTTATTTTGTTGAAAATAGTGGTAGAAATCTTTGTAGAATATGTAAAAATAGTAAAAACTAAATTTTTTAAGGTTTGGGGGCCGGAGATCGCCGAAAACGACGGCCCCTACGAGGAAGACGGCACAGACGGCGTCTGTTTTTACCTTTTTTTAAAATTATTATTTAAATGATAAAAGAAAAATATAAATAATGAATAAAATGTTAATAATCAAAATACGCAAGTAAAATTTAATTGCAGATTAATTGAAAGAAATTTAGCATTTTAAATAAATAATTATTTACGTTTACTTGTTCAATAAATAATTTAAATAATCAAATAATTAAATTAAATAATTTAAATGAACAATTGAAATGAAAAACCATTGGAATAAATAATTAATTTCTCACAAAAATAAATAATGGACATGTAAATAATAATTAAATGATTATTTAAATGATAAATAAATAAATATTATTAATCAAAATATCAATTAAAATTTAATTGATACAAATTTCTAACATTTGAATTAAATAATTTCGTTTGCTTGTTCAATAAATAATTTAAATAATCTTTCCATATAAGTAATTAAATCAAATAATTTAAATGAACAATTGAAACAAATAATGAAAAACAATTGAAATGAATAATTAATTGAAATGAGAAAAAATAAATAATGAACATTTAAATAATAACTACATGATTATTTAAATGATAAATGAATAAATGTTAATATTGAAAATATTAATTAAAGTTTAGTTGAAATAAATTTCTAACATTTGAAATGAATAATTAAATATTTACCTTTACTTGTTCAATAAATAATTTAAATAATCGATTCATATAAGTAATTAAATCAAATAATTTAAATGAACAATTGAAACAATTAAATGAAAAATAATTAGATAAAAATAATCAAAGTAATTAATTAAAATGTAGATAAACAATTGAAATAAATAATGAACATTTAAATAATAATTAAATGATTATTTAAATGATAAATGAATAAATGTTAATAATCAAAATATTAATTAATGTTTAATTGAAATAAATTTCTAACATTTGAAATAAATAATGAAATATTTGCGTTTACTCTTGTTCAATAAATAATGTAAATAATCGATCAGTATAAGTAATTAAATCAAATAATTTAAATGAACAATTGAAACAATTAAATGAAAAATAATTAGATAAAAATAATCAAAGTAATTAATTAAAATGTAGATAAACAATTGAAATAAATATCTAACATTTAAAATAAATAATTAAATATTCGCTTAATAATTAAAATAAATATTAAATAAACAACTAAAGAAAAATATAACAAATAATTACATATTTACGTTTAAATGTTCAATAAATAATTTAAAAAAATAATTAAATATACAATTATAATAGATAATTAAAATTAAGCATTCAATAAACAATTAAAATAAATGTGAAATAAACAAATAAGCAATCGAAATAAATAATTTAGATAAACAATTGAAATAAATAATGAACATTTAAATAAAAATAAACAAATTAAATAAGTAAGAAATATAAATTTTCAAAATAATTTATTTAAATATGTAATTAAATATAAATAATCAAATTTAATTAAATAAAAAATTGAAATAAATTTCTAACAGGGGTTAAAATAGACCATGAAATAAATAATTTTATAAAAATTAGTTTTTCCCTTTTTCATAAGTTGTTGTATAATTTTTAATTCATTTTCTTTATTATCTGTTATTTCGTGCGTATATTACTTACAGTTCGGTTAGTTAAATTTTGTGACATTATGTTTCAAATGTTCTAACATTTGAAATTTTGTAGGATGGATTACTATTTGGACGCAGCATTAAGACAGGTTCCTAGCAAAGTTACG